GGCGTCCGAATGCACACAGAGGGTATAATGCCTATTGATCAAAATCCATCCAAAACCAGATATATCCCAGCAGCTAGGGTGTTAACTCGTAAATAATAATCAAGAGCCCCACGAAAAGTCCACTGACATCCCTTCGTATCCATAAACCATGTCAGGTCATCCCATCTATCCTGTAAACATTGACCAAAAAAAAAAAACCAAAGTCTCTATCGTGTAGACCCAGTAACAAACGCATGACCGTAGAGATAAGAGAAGACATAGAAAAATAGGTGACAAGTCTATACCATACCGTACGTGACCGGGAGTAGCATCTTGGTGGACAAAAAGTGTCATGGGTAACCAACAATAACAGAAAAGCTCAAGCATCAAAGAAGCTGCAGTAGAAGGACGCCTAGAAACGTCGTGCACAAGCTCGAGATAGTGTAGTGTAGGTGGCGTATGGCTGTTGGTGGTGGTGTCGCGTGATTGGATAGGCCGACAGGTGATCCCTGCTTTGCGCTCGACGGATCTACCCGCCAAGTCATGGTTGGGCCCTAGACAGCTAGCTCCAATTGACCATGGGGAGGGGTGGTGAAATGATACTGTAGAGTCCCCGTACTCTGTCCGCATGACCACTCTTGCCCACACGCTAGAAAAAGAGTGAGTCAAAGAGTTGCGATAATCCCCGAAGGAAAAGGGCCCGACCCGTTGATCCTTTCGCAGATATCGCCGGAAGCTAGACGACACAGGGTGCAGCGCCTCGAGCATCATCGCAGCTGCACGTCCAATGGCGCCATCATCAACGGGAGCATTGAAGCAAACATGGAGCTGAAAGGGCTGCTTCGAGAGAACATGGTGCCTGGCCGGCGTCTGTCATTGGTATGCGCCACAACACCTGACTCTTCCCCACGACCCTCTTCACAATGTTCACGAGGCTGCCCAATACAACCTCTAAACACAACACGAGCATCCATCCAGTGGTCATCAGATATGACCTGGGCGACAAAGCGCCACAGCCTTTCATGCTCTGGGTGCAGGTTCGCCATAGCTTGTTGCCCCGTACACTGGCTGAGCTGTTTGTGATGTCAAACTGGGATAGCTCTCAGGGTATGTTGCAGGCGTAGGGTCCCATCGTGGAGGCGTCGCAGTTGGTGGATGATGGCTCAGTGGGGTGTGTAAGCCGCTTGTCCCGTATCCGCCTCGGCTGTCGTAACTCGAGACTGCTGGTAAAGGTGTTGTGTTGATACGTAGAGGCGGCTGTTGTGGGCTGTGATGGCGAAGTCCAGGACTCAATGTGCGAGAGGCGGCCGAGTAACCCGGAGGGGCTGTTGTGTATGGTGTCCAACTAGGCTGGGATCCAGAAAGTGATCGTGGCGATGGTATTGAGTCGTGGTGTTGAGGAAGAGAATACTGCGGATGGGGGTCAGGGTGTGTTGGACCCATGCTTTGTCCTGGAGGCGTTGGCAGAGGTGCATAGTGGCCGTTGGGGTGGCTCATCATGCTGGGCGGCGCTACAGTGCTGCTAGGACTAACGCTATACTTTCCGATGATCTTCTTGAGGGCCGACTCGAGAATCTTCCAGGGAAACACCTTGACATCCTTCTCGATGTTGCGGGGTTTGGGGTTGGGGAAGCCCATAATAATCTTGAAAAACTCCTCGCTGTCGGGCTTAGCCTTGGACACGGTCTGGGGGTGGAATCCTTCCAAGTTGCGACGAATACGGTTCTTCTCCTCGACGCTGAAACGGGCCGGCGCGGCAACAAGCTGCTCGAGGAGATAGATAGTGTCGACCGATGTGACATAGCATTCACCTTTCTCGGCCCACCATATGCAAGAAATGCAGATACTGTTAGGTGGTCGGTCGTTGATGCTTACCGCCTGGCAGGTGGCGTTGACGGTTGATCCTTTTTGTGTCTTGCGGAAGAGTACAATCCGGCGACGATTGGTCCACTCCTCTGAATTCCAGTTCTCGGCCATTGTTTCCAGCTTACCGGAAACCTTGAGAATTGCTTTGCCAGAGTATAGTGAGATAGGGTGGTAGCTGGAATTGTTGCCAGTGTTGGCAGCGATGGTGCTTGTTCGAACTAGTTGAGGCGCGCCGTTGGGTTGAGACGGCGAGGACATACCCAGAGGCGTCAGAGGTGGACGTCCTACCAACGAAGCATCCAAGCCTGACGGTCCTCGACCAGTACTGCCCAATGTACTCGGATAAGGGCTCCATCCAGCCGTATGACGACGGTGATAGTGAGGGTCCGTGAAGCTCGTGCTTCTGCTGTAAGTGCTAATCATTTCGTTGTTTGCTTGCGGGAATGCACTGGCATACTGTCCTTGATGCGGTGGATATTCATAGGTATTTGTACCAGACTCTGCTGATAGCTGAGGTTCACCTTTAGGTGAGGTACTCGGCTGATCCATACTAGGGGCAGGTGCCGTGTCCTCATGCTTAGGCATCTTGGTTGACCTCGTGATGTCATCCCCCGACCCTTCAAGATACTGAAAAGTACCAACGGGAATGCGAGAAATTTCGTCTCCTGAAGGGCCATCAAGAACAAGTGACAGTGGCACATTGCTGCTTGCACAGTTTGTGACCAGAAATTGAGGTGCGTCTCCGCTGCAGCTGTAAATGAAGCCTGTGCTGTCTTGCAGGTCTCGGGAGACGTCTTGAACAGTGCACTTTTCTGACCCAAACACCAGAGACCACGTTGGCATCGGCGTCGATAGCAAAAACAAGTCGTACTGGGATGAAAGTTTGACATAAACCTTGGTTCCAAAGACACCTGTTGGAGGTTGACATGATAGAACAGTTGGTGCCGCCATACTAGGGGCAATGCCATATGCCACGGCCGCATTGTTGGAAGCGAAGGATTGCTGGTTCAGCTGGGCGAACTTGTCGGACTGTTGCTGAGTTGGATAATTCTGTGCCGGGTATTGTTCATAGCTCGTATCTTGGTATCGTGTCACGTCGTAACCAGCTGTAACAAGTTAGCCAAACAGTGAGCCACGTCCAGTACCAGCACTCCAACGCCACGGAGCTTCTCACGGCAGAGCTCCCACTTACCATGCATAGAAGGCAGCTGGGCCTTAGTGTAGGTTGCCATCTCCAAAAGCCTAGGAGGGGAGTCCCCTCTTAGGTCTCCTCCTCCGTTCTCTGCTCGGGCAGCTTCTTCGTAACGAAGCGCGATGGTGTCAGGCGATTCAAGCCTGTCGTCGACTCCGACGATGATTGGCTTTTGCGGGTGGTAGTCAGGCTAGAAGATGTTGATGTCAGTGTTCAGAGTCCCGAAACAATAGGGACGAGGTTTTGTGGAAAGACAAGTAGATGTCGATGGAGAAAACAAGAAGAGAAACGCTCTGCGGGTTTGTGGGCGGCGATGAGGAACAAAAGGGATCCGTCATGTCACGGGAATACTAGAACAGGGTCTGGATTACAACTCACCTCGAAAAGCTTATAGGGAGGACACTGGAACTTGGAAGTAGACATCCAAGCTGGCAAGGAGGGAGACTGGGAATGGGTCTGTTCAGGGAGGAAAGTTGAGAATGTTGTCCAGTTGTCTTGGAGAGAAAGTGGTCGCAGTCGTAGTTCAGACCAGGTCTCGTCAAGGTCTTATGCAACGGGTCTGGGTCGACCAAGACAGTGATCGCTACGCGACTGTTGACTTTCGGAGATTTGATCTAACACAGGGTATGCGGTGGCATGCAGTAGTGATGTTGTTGGATGATTAGTATTGTCGGTCAAGCTCTCCCTTGACTTGCTTTTGCGTGCTGGAGGTGGCGCTTTGAAACAGATGAAGTGGATGGCGGGGATCCTACTGGCGAAGCTGAGAGGGGTAATCGTGGGTTCCGATCCAGCTCAGAGACACTTGCATTCCAGGAAAAGGGCGGAATCTGTTGTCTGGGAAGCGGACACTTTCCTGGATAAAGGGAGAATGATACAAGCTGGGGAAGTGAACTCGTTGACGCGGAAAGAGGTGCCCAGGTATGCGTGGCAGATTTGAATCAACAAGCCGAGAAACAATAATAAATAAAAGATTGTAGAGATATGCAATATTGCGTCTGAAGAATGCTGGATGTTGGGAGGATCCTGGAAACCGTTGTCAGGTTATTCCCATGTACAGGAAGACCAACGATGGCGTTGTTTTGCCACACAAGTTGCTAGGCTTCAAGGCAGGTTCATATCACAAAGAAGTGCGTACCTTGCAGACTTGATTCAGTGTGTAATCAATAAGAACAAGCTGAGACTAAGGGTCAAGCTTGTGTCTCCGAAGCCGTTGTACAGGTGGTTCAACTGCAAGGGCACTTGAGTCTGTTATGGTCAGTTCAGCTTCACTAACTGATGCTTAACAGTGTTAGGCTCGCAAGATCCCGAAATTCTATGGAGCTGGGACGGAGAAGGAAAGACAGACAGGCGGGTAACTGATTCAACACGGGTAAGTGAGTCGGTTTAGGCTTGAATAAAAGAAGGGCTTGTCGTGAGTGTCGATGTGACTGTCTGTAGGAGATGAGGGAGACCAAGTACGGAAGAGCATTTCTTTTGGGAGTGGCCCGTGTATGCGAGATATTTGCCCTGCGTCAAGGGGAGATAGTGATGATTCAGATGTTTCTTGGGAAAGTTTTCGACCAAAGGGCAGGGAGGCAAGGAAGAAGGGCGAAATAAAACCAGTAGCAAGCTAGAGCTTATGGACTGATGTATGTATCTATTCCATCCCTTCCTTTACAAGAAACCAATAAAGATGAAGAAGGCCTTAGTTAGGAGAGAAATGGAGACAAGGTGCCAGGGTAAGGGAGGGAGAGAGAAAGGTGCGTGGCCAGGCTACTTTTGGCCTTGGACATTGTCAAGTCGAGTCTGCGCGACCCTTGCCTGACGATCCCACCCCCACTCGCCTATCTAAAAAGTAACACGGAGGGGAGGGAATAGAAATGAATGAGCATACGGATGGATACATTTGGAGTCAGATAGCAATAGTGTTGTCCTCGCAGCGCAGTGCATGGCACATGGGGCTAGACAAAGCAAGGTAAGCGCAATGCTTGAGGGAAAGGTCAAGGATATGGCATTTGCGGAGGCTAGGAATCAACCACCTTGGCCGTTATGCCAGATCCTCGAGTGTCTCAAAGCCTCCTGCAAGGGTGACGGCAGCGTCAACTGGTGGGGAGAGGCATCATGGGTTCGGGAAATGGTGGAGAAGTTTGGTCTAAGTCGTTTTTGTGTGCCAGGTGCTAACCCATCCGAAGGAAGCATGACTTGAAGTCTGAAAGAAAAGCTTCATCATCTGCTACACAAACAACATCTTTGCTCCTTCACCATTTACCCACACACATCCCGAAGTCTTCAGGACCCAGTCAGCCATTCACTGAGAGAGGTGGCAATAGACAGACACCACATATCCATGACAGAAAGGGCTATGGGAAGCCATGATACACCCCTCTTTGACGAGACGTTACAGACCATTCATGAGAGACTTAGGAATAGGAAGGAAAAGAGGCATACTAGCCCCAAATGGACATCTCTTTTGGAAGCATGTCCCGGCTTAACTGGAGCGCACCGAAAAAAAGAAAAGGGAATAATTTGGGAGCCCGAGTAAGAAAAATAAAATAAAAAAAAGAATGGTTTGTATACGTGCCTGGACAATATGGATGTGTGCGTAATGCGTGTGCGGTAGTCAATCGGAAGGCCTAGGGGGTGTCGTTAGTCGTCTGAGCCAGTGATTGGTCGACTTTCGAAGAGGGAATCAATAGTGGTTGTACAGGGGTGCCGGTAATGTGTAGCGCACGGCGTAGGCGGCATCAGCTGGATATCCAGGGCAAGCCAAGATCGTTCCAAGGGCAGAAGAGCTCTACCCAGTAACAGTCCTGGAACTCAAGGGAGTCAAGGCCTAAGTGAGGGTCTTGTCCAAGAAAGGTGCGGTTCTAACCGTACTGGGTCCGCTCCCGCCTTCCCGTCTCCATTTGTTTTCTCTTTTGAAAGGTCCTCTAATGAGAGCTGTCGGGGTACCTTGCTTGTCCTGTGCTACTGCACAGGCCAGGCCAGGCCAGGCCAGACCAGACCAATCTCAATTCTTCTCCGATTTGTGTAAAGAATGTTCTGTTCGTCGCCAGGCGAAGCAAGGTATATATGCAAATGCAGGTGTAGAAGGGCATTATAGCAAAGTCGTACTCACCTCCAAAAGCAAGTCAGGAAAGGAGATCTTCGGGTACCGAACAACCGAAATTCAAGATCACCATACAGCGAGATTGCAATGGAGCTCGCTGTTCAGCTCGGTCTCCAACAAAACTCTGTCAAAAGAACAACTTCTCAATGTCAAACGACCACCACATACGTCAGTTGGCCGTATTCGCGTCAACGACCCAACTTTGTAGGGCACCACTTCAGTCGCTTCGCCAAGGTGAAGATGCCCCAGTAGGTCAGAACGGGCGTGTAATCGCCAGCAAAGCCGAAACAGGCTTGATACTGGCTCCCGGGAGTGCTCAAGTTCCGCGACGCTGAACAAGGATCAAGCCTAATCAAAATATGATCCCGGTCTGATGTCGTAGGATGATCAATGATCGCCTTGTCGGCACTCTTATGAGTCAAATCTGTCAACTGCATTTCAATTAGTCCGTCTCCTGTTGCTTTTTCTTGTCACGCTTCTCAACCGATGCTGGCCCCCAGCCATTCTTCCACGACAACGACTCGAGGCTTCACAAATGTGTGATAAAGAATCCAACGCCCGGGGCTTCTTTGTGCAATGCACTCTCAGGTTGAATGAGGCATGGGGAGAGACCAGAAGTAACAATAACAAAGCAAGGGGCGAGTGGGTGCACACGGGTTGTAGATTATTGAAGTTTCTCACACTGGGGCAGAACCCCTCGCAGTCAACAAATTTGGCTACGCATCAAGACGCCACCGCCGTCAACTCTTGGGCAAAGAAGGAGGTTTTGGAATACCAACAAGTGCTCTTGGTGCAAATCGAAGCGGAGACATGAAGGGGGGAAGCCCAGAGATGTGAACGGACAACACTAAAACGTGAGGTTATTATAAGCATACCTTAATTTGGTAGATTCTGGTAACTCCAAGTCCGAGCCTCCAGTATTCCTGGGTTCGATGTGCCTTGTCTCGATCTGCACTGACACACGCGAGGGGCCCTTACACGGCTGGGTTCGAATCGAGGGAACGAGTCGAAAGAGCGGGCTTTGTGCTTGAATTGAAGTGTTTATATCGGGGTCCTTACCACGCTGTTTATTTGATCGAGTCGAAAAACACACATTGATGCTCAAACGGGAGTACCGCTTATCTTATACGGCCTCGTTGCTTTTTGTTAGGAGGAAACGATTTTGTGTTCCCATCATAACAAATTGCATAATGAATGCGGTTGCATGACTACCCATCGCTACCGTCAAGCAGCGCAATGATACGAACAAGGATGTTCTGTACGAGCCATGTACTCAGTGTCCAGCTAAACATTTGATAAGAAGTTGGAGTGACTTGCAAGCCTTCACAGCTCTACCCGACCAGCCAAAGAGGGACTCGGTGCTCAGAAAAGCAGGCCTCCAGTGGTGAAGAACAGGCACGTACAGCACAGAATTGCCTTCCCCAACCACTTGGTACGCCAGCTGCTAGGGGTGGGTCACTATGATGATACTTCCAGGGTTTGGTTGAACAGAACCTTTGAGAGAGCGCCACCTCGGCTCTTGAAGGGCTCCCAGACATTCAACGGGAAAGCCAAGGGAATATCGCACTGCATATTGTGCCAGAGATTTATCAGAACTCACAGTACGAGTGTCCTGGGCAAAAGACAAGCCGGCCCTGAGAGGAGGTGCGGACGTGCGATCTGCACAGGGGGCCAGGATCCTCCCTCCAGGGGTGCACCAGCAGCTGTAGGGATCGTCCATGGTAACATTTAGCTCGGGCCTGCTGATCGACCAAGCGACCAAGCAAGACTGGGTTCTGAGATCCTGCAGCGTTGCAATTGGGATGCTAGCGAAAAGGATGGCGCGCGGGCCGCTCTTGAGGGAGCCGCCCTACAGCATAAAGTTTTTGGTGAACATGCTCTAATCCAAGGATTGGATCACAGCTAGTCCGGGTCACTTAATGGAGGGCTTTTGGATTTTGTCACAACCCTTTCGAGGAAGTGAAGATTGAAATTGATTAGCGTATTATTCCCTGCATAGTCTCCCCACCACACCTTCAAGGCCGAATCTCATCGGTCAATGAAGAGACTTGAGAGCTCAAATGCGTATATTTCGGTGCAACATCATGCCGGGTGCTCAAATAGAGGAGCCCACGACATTTTCCAGATAGGTGCTTAGAAAGGTAGCGTGGTGTGGCAAAATTCTGTCAAGGTGATTATGGATAACTCGATCCAAACCTCTGGCTTGGGTTTTGACGAGATGAAGCGGTTACCCGAAGCAAAACCAGGAAGTAATCTGTTCAACTCGACACTCGTGGAGGCGAAACACATCTCGTTCTGTTACCCCGCCTTGATCTCGCTGGTTCACACGTTGCAATGGTTGGTTAAGGGGCCTTGATGTGTCGAGCAAACCGGGGTGGGCGAGTGTTCACAAATCAATGTGAGCTGTCGCCCATTGCTTCGCTTGACAGCTGTTGCACAGTAGCCTGTAAGACATCTTCAGCGAGGGTTCACAGACATACTTGTCTCTACCCGCACCCAGTCGCATATTCTCCATTCTCAGCACAAGATGAGGTCTCTTATTCTAACGTCCACCACCTCTCTAATAAAAGCATATTCAGCGAGATCAGCTTGAAGTGTTAAGATTTGCATATGGTGGTCACTTGACACCATCCCGACAGCCAGGGTTAGATATTCAGAGTATGTTGCAGGGACTCGACACGTGCATGTCTCAGCGAATGTTCTGAAGAATAGACCAATTGAATACACGATAGACTCGAACGGAACTTGCAGAACGTTGAGTGAATACAAATAATCAAGTCAAGCCGTTGGTATCAGACATCGGGCGCCATGACTCATTCTACGACATGAGTGTCAGTAATAGGCTTGTTGCAACAAGCTCGAACAGAGGTTTTTTGAGTATCAGCTGCGAATTGCAGTGGAACATGAAACAGGCCAAACAATTTTGACCGCGCGCATGGCTTCTGAGACTCTGCTTCGATTGTATGGGGGCCTGCGAAGAGAATTACGTTGTGCGTTCGGTCAAGGTTAGTGGAAGCTCATCCTCTTTGTCTGAGCGCAGACAATAGCAAGGCCCGTGGGAATTGTATTGCACAATGGTCTCTCATGACTTTGCTATTGTTTGTCACAGCTGCTCGGTTCAGGCCGAAGGGAATCCCAACAGTCCACGTAAAAAGCCTGAGTAAGTAAACTGAGACAAGTATACAGTATAGGGGAACAGCTTATGCGATATCCTAGTCCTGGTAAGTTTAAAATCTTGTTACCATGTTTGAGCTTCTTACCCGAGAAAAAGCAAAGAGCATGTCTTGGAGCTGAGTGTCGGCACGCCAGAGTAACGTGAATGGTTTTCGGAGAGTGACAAAAGCCTCACGTTTTTAAGCTGTCGTAATCTTGAGACAACGAATTGAGCAGGATAGGTACATTGCAGGTGGAAAATAGGCGAGCGAGGGCTGGCGCCGATGAGGTTGGTGGTTCTCTAAGATCATGCAGGCCGTGTTGCACAAGCATCGCACATTGTACATTACAGATCTGGCACATTCCCTAACGTCGTCTTTTCCTGTCCTATCGCGCGGTATCCCTCGTTCTGGACAGCGTGGATGTGGTCTCACAGAGCTGCGCCTCTAAAACAGTATGTGCTTGTGTCGGTGAAGCTGCCAATGGACGACATGGTTGACGTATTACCAGCGTTGCAGGCTGATGTCGGTGCGGAAGCCCAGACGAACATCCTTATTCTAATCAACAAGGGGTGATTAGGGTAGTCGAATCTGCCAATGGCCGCGATGGTGATGAATTGATGAGCTCTTGCTAGAGAGTCGAAGTTCGCTATTAAACCCGTTTGGGGACGCGTTTGCGACTATTCTACCATTGGTGGTGTATTAAGTAGTCGATTTGATATTCAAGGGTCGACCAATAACGCGTTTTTGGAGAGTTCAGATATGATTCTTTGTTGTTGTAAATGAATACTTGGTAATTGAAAGTTGGCGTAATCCAAGTTCAACGCCGGTGGTAGTTAAGTTTACGGTTGAGGCAGGAGAGGCCGTTCTCCACTTTGTCCGTTTGCGTTCAATGTGCCTTCCTTCTCAACTCTGTACTTAGTTATCAATTGGAAGGTGCAACAACAAAATGTATTTCCGGTTTAATGTCATCTCTACTAGGTACTTCCCATTGACCAGCATATTGCAGCAAAACAAATCGTTCAAGTTGTCGTATATTTCTTCCACCTTACCCTAGACCTATAGCTCGAGTCCTGTGCTACTAACCTACGCGTGCATAAGAGGGAGATACTGCCCCAATATTAACCTTGCACAGCAGTAAATGGCGAATAAAAACGGTGGTGAAACCACTGACTACCTGTATTTTGGAGTTTCAATACGGTTCGATTCGGTATGGAACTGCAGCAGCAGTCTGGCCTGACCTGGCCTGCACAGCGCACTAAACAGCAAGGGTCCTCCCCCCGAACTTCTCCTCATCGGTGAGCTTCCAACCCGCAATTCAGTCGGCCAAGGAAAAAGAAAAGAAGCAGAAGTGGACATTCACTGTATCCGTACCTTTCTGTGATCGGCTGGAGTCGGCCATGCCGGGAACAGATTGATTGGTTGTACATGCAATATACATGTAGCATCCCGCGGAGGGGCGATGGATGATTTTCATGATCCAGATCCTAGCTCTCTTTACTGCACTGCACTCTACAGTTCTGCTCTGTAACTGTATCTATCCGCCCGCAGAAACTCGCTACTCAGTGTTACGATGTAGAATGCACACCCCTGCTTCCTACATTATACGGTCACGCAACAGGTGCTTCACGTTGTACTGTATGTATGTATGTATTGCACAAAAAGTGAAGAGATTGAGATATGTTGCACAAACCCGAAGGGGAGTGCTTCCAGTTCGGCGTTGGCCATTCACTCAAACTTTTATTATTATTGTAGTCTTTACATCTCAACCGCTAATTTACAGAGTTATCTCTAATTGCTCCCCTTACCGACAATAGAGAAGATAGGTAATTGTATGGATGCAGATGACGAACGAATGAGACTCAAGAACGTATCGGTACAATACCTCCTTGCAGCCGCTAACAAGGAATAAGCTTGCGCGACCGCAGACCTGGGACTGGCTATTCTAGTCTAGATAGTATGTAAGCATGTAGGTACTTTGCCCAGATTGCCAGTCACCAGTGTGAACTATAGACTCAAGGCCCTGGTTCATCAGACATGCAGCCTCCCGCCTCATACCTATTGATAACATGTCCTTGATGATGAAGCTTCAACACCGACGGGGACCCGGATAACATGGCAGCAATGATCTGATCTGATCTGATCTATCCATTTTATGCTTCAGCTGAGTTCGATAGTCCCGGTTCGATACGCCTGTAGTAAATGCACGTATCGCCAGGCCGATCCCTGTGGTACTAGCGACACGCTCGACTACAAGTCGTGTTCATGGACCAATTATGTTAGAGACCAATGATTCTTCCATGAACCACCAAAACGTTCATTATCGCATGGCTATGTAATGGATCGCCGGGACCAGCAATGTATCATTCTGATGTGTCGAATATTACCGACATTAATAGCTGTATTAAGCTGGGCATCTTTGCAGTGGGTTAGGGAGTGAGGCTGCTGACAAGGGTATTTCACACCGTAACAACGAAGAACAAAAAGCAAATCATACACACCTACTCCAAGTGTCGTGCATTTACTCTACATACATACGTACATACTTGTGCACTTTCAAAACAGGGACCCTCTCCGAATGACGTATTGAAGCTTGCGAATTTGGAGAGAGATATGATCTGAAACTGTACCTAGATAGAGTCTGGACGAGACACGTACATATCAAAAGCACTTAAGTTTTATTCCTCGGTAATCTTGTATACCACCTGGTCTATAGCATAAATTAAGATGAATACCGTCAAGTTAAGCTGACAAATGTGGACCGTGTGTATCAAGGACTGATGAGAGTACTGTAAACTGTTAGAGAGACATTATCTGATGGTAGTTTTCAACTAAATAATAAGCTGAGCTGCGATAAATCTCGTGGCCATCGCAATCGCACGTACAGTACAACGCAAACGTAACGGAGAGTTACGTCCGGAAAGTTATCTGCTTCTTTAACTTCAAGAACACCATAGGGGCAGGTTTATTCAGATCGTCTTCTCACTAACTGCGTTTGTTATTTTCAAAGGGCTGAAGCCGTAGAATAGGTTGCTGGCACGCATTACCACGAATAACAAGACGAGGATGGTATTCTAGAATCTTTAAGGCTAGCTAGTTGCTCATGAGACCTGCAGTTTCCTGTAATCATCATATGTAAACAATGACAACTACAACTAGCGATTGGTCGTGATAACAACTCCATCAGCCTAGTTCAGTTGACCATGGACGATCCTCAGCCTTAGAACCTGTAAGTACACTTGATACCATGGATGACTTCGTATATGTACAAACAGGAATACGGATGTTGTGCCTTCAAACAAGTAGACAGTCTACGCTAAACGTCTATCGTATCGAGAGACGGAATGATACGAATCAGGTTCTGACACGGCAACTTCCAGACCGACATTACGCACGAGTCAACGCATACAGTTAATCCATATATTTTCAGAAACTGGAATGGAAACTGAGGTGAACTCGAAAAGGCGGGCGGCCTGAGCGTCCTCGCAGAAAAAGCAAATCTCGTAGTTTCGCCATATTTCGAAAAAAAAAAAGCAAAGTTGAAGCAAAAGAACCAATAGACATGTTTCTGGATAAATTAACTATACTATGGTCTGCATACAAGGTCAAGCCTGTCATGGATATTACCGGATGAGATGGAGATGGGGCGTGGGGAAGACGACGATCTCTCTTCCTTTCAAGGTTTGGTTAGTCAGGGAGAGGGGGAATTTAAGCCTGGAAGCAATTGTTTTCTCTTTTTGTTTTAGTGAACGAACCAGGGAAGTTACTACCCGATAATATATCACATCGTATCTCATTGGGTAGGTCATCTTTCGAACTACTATTACTTCCACCGGACGCTATGCGCTTTGACGGACTGACAAGGCTGGATGGCTCAGGTGAGGCGCCTCTTTTTTTTTTTTTTTTCCTTCACTAGAGAGGCCCCCTCCCCTAGAAAGACTAGAGAGTAGAGAGTACTAGAAGCCATGTGGTTTGGTCTAGGGTCAAGTTTTTAGTCAACTTTCCCTTCCTTTCCCGTTGTGCATTGACTATTTGGGGGCATTTCTGTTTTAAGCCGACTGCATATTGAAGCATCCATGCCGCGCATCCAAAGTGAGGTTACGGATATAGATACCGGGGATGAAGGAAATGAGGCCGAGAGGATCTTGGCATTGGGACTAATCTGTCCCTTCCGTCCGTTCTCCTTTTGTCTTGTCTTGCCTTGTGAGCGCTGTCTGGTCTCTACACAATAAGTGAGACACGGGAGTGTCAACTGGGGTCTCTGCTAAGTCAAGATCGGGACTGGACTACAGTTCACTTCTGATAAGTTACCGTTTAGATGAGAGACTAGATCAGTTCATCTTTATGTCATGTCAACTGTGCTGAGTTGTGCTGAACTTTACAGCGCATGCATACATGATACAACGCTGTCATCATACCACGGCCAGCATCACTTTACTTCACTCCCCATATCAATTGTAACTACACACGCAACTCCGAATCTCTGTATTATTACTACTGCACGCATGGACCCCAAAATGCAATGTTCGATCTGCCCTGATCTACAAAAAATGAGGCTGCATCCCCATGGCTAAGACTTGCATCTCGTCTCCCTTCCCTGCCCTGCCTGCCGGAGCCGTGTTGGTTTGCTTACACTTCTCAATTGGGCATGACCGTTGCTTCTCAGGTCCCCAACTTTGAAATACCCTCGTCAACTCATCTCAATCCTAGTCCCCTACCCACTTACTCATAGTACAGGCATCATGTGCATCACTTTGCCTCATGCAAATGAAGGTGTCCCCCTCCTCTCCAGAATTAATCTTCGCAAATCTAACCTCTTGTGAGACATGGCGCATCCGCATCTATGATTGGGCATCATTATATGCGTAGTATTGTAGGTCCTCTGCTCACCGCCATCTCAACAACACAATGGAGGGCATCCTGTTCCTTCTATGGCCTCATCTTGACCAATTCATCACATGCCCAGAATCACCAAATGGACCCTTTTAGGACGCCTGCCTACAATGCAATTGCAGATGCAGATATGCACATTCGAGGTATATTCCCATCTCTGTCTCCTGCTCTAGTGAGCGATGCTACCGCAGTGCTGCATCCCGCTTCCGAAATCAGAGATTATTGCATCTTGTTCATAGACGTGGTGACTCTTGTTTTGCCCATGAGACTCATTAGGATCTTCACCGCTCATAAAGTGACGAGTCTCGAACGCAACGTCTTGGAACCCGATGGATTGAGGCAAGACACTCATGGAATGTAATGCAAGTGGTGTGCATATGTTACAGATCTGTCTTTCGCTTATTCGTCGATGTTGGATGCATACTGAGATACTATATTTATTGAGGCTCTTTGGCGGTGAGGTCTGTGCTGTATTGTATTCGTTGATACTTCATCTTGGGTCTTGTGATGGCCTTTTGGGGACCAGAGTGGTGTGATATTTTGATACATGTGCATTTCCCTCTGCAGGCGTCTCGACTTTGCCGTAATGAAGCCGTAGTCCCATGCTTGACACGGGGCGTAAGTTGTTTGGCAACTTCCTCTACGTTCACTCATACTACAGATACTGTCATGGACAGACAAGCACGACTCTGACGCTGCCACAGGAAAGTCCGCAAGTTTCTGGCGACTACTGTAATCTGACTCCAGACGTTCCATGAGGTTGCCATCATTTGGCACGCTCATGAGGGAAGATCGCACTTGTGAGTCTCAGTATAGTATATGGCAGGTAGACTAAATCAAATAAGAGATGAAGACTGAATGCTCAATGTTGTCAATCAGCTATTACCCCTGTGTGCCCCTTTATTCCGAGAGTCTGATAATCTGTGAACGCACTCATAAAGACGGTAACCTCAAAGAACAACTTAGCCAGCCATGCTGGACATGCTATTAGTTTCAAGTACACATAGTATGATGAGATTCTCTTGGCCTTCGTTAGCCTTTTAACTGTTCTATCACCGAATGTAATGACAGACATTCTCTCATCATCACCAGTGTAAAACTATGCTACCATTCGCCTTCACATACTTTGAATCGTTAATTACTTCGTACATTACTATGGACAGCGTTGCTCAGTGTACGAAGCAGATTGATGGCCAAGGCAAAGATAAAGAACCGATGGATATCCCCAGTACTATCTGCTTGCAAGTTATCATACAGCACACAATCACTCAACTCTTTGGCACTTGTCATCCGCTGAATTTGTATGATTGATCACTCATTTCTTTGACAAGCCTCATACGTACCCGTTGACTCAGTCAACGCGTAGAAAATCTCATCACTGCCATCCATCTGTCATCATGAGTCTCTCCGTAAGTCCATCATGGCTGTTTCTGGTTTCCAGGGCTTGTGCTGCATCTGATCCAGCTCCATCGTACAAGAATGCAAAAAAGTGAAATGAACAAAAAAGTAAACCTCATCACATCAATTATCGCGAACCCCCAGTCCCGACCTAAAGCAAAAGCAGGTCATTTGTATTTTTGTTACTCAGGCGCCATCTCCTATCATTGAGAACATGACGCGTGTTGTTTCATTTGGGTTGGGTTGTTGTAGGTAGTAAGTAGTGATAGTAGTGGTTGTTGCCCTTTGAAGGGCTCGTGAAACCACAGTATTGCTGCGTTCTCATCGTTCCATTAATAGCTTGGCCCAAGTATGCTGTCAATGTGAACGAACAGACCGCCGTTTGTTATGGAGGGAGGAAAACAAGAAGTCGAAATAGGAGTATTGCGTGCTTGGCTTAAACATAAAAATAACAAGTGCCAACACGATGAATGGAGCCTGCATGCAGTGTATGACCGCGCAGGTGCTATATGTGAAGCTCGTTCCGGGAAAGGGCATCGACTGGTGATCCGTGAGTGTGGTGGATATGTACTGAGTAAAGAGGCCCAGGCATCAATAGATAAAGGGTAAACTTAAGATGCTCTACCCATGCGTGTTATGTGGTATGATCAACTTGATGCAATGTTTATCATGCAAGTCGTCTCAATCGGCCTCCTCCAGCTTGTGCTGCATTCCTAAGCAGTCAGTGAGGCAGAATTGTTGCGGCCCCAATCGGAGCCTCGGCCACGGTAGCTACCACGGCCTCCTCGAGTTGATGTTGATGTAGGATGCTCCCCTCGCGAACTTGACACATCTCGTTTACCTCCTCGTCGCTCGTAACCAGAGCCACGACTCCTAGGACCACCCCGAGTTGATGAGCCTCGACCGCCTCTAGTTGCGGAGAAAGGGACAGTGACAATTTTGGTGTCTTTCATTTCGGGCAAACGAATTCTCATAGCATTGCCGCCACCGACTACTTCTGCAGCAAAGTAGTATGGTTCCATAGCAGTTGGCTGAACCGCAAACTTCTTTGGTAAAGGCTTGTTCTGTGCCAATGCTGGCTGCCAGGCGGCCTCGGGGGCCTTGTGCGGTAGTCGGATCTGGGGAAGAGATCCCATTTCCTGTTCTTCAAAACACTCTTCAGCCATGGGCTTGGTGATAGATGACGGTCTGCCCTTAGTGGAGTGAGTTGGGGCGCCGTTTCCGGGCAGAGAGACTGTAGCAGAATCATGGTGGGCGACCTGGTCCAAAGCGCTCTTACTTGCAGGATCAACGCCAATAGATCGTTGAGGTGGTGATTTCGAGCTTCCGAGCAAGCTGTTGATTCGGTTCTGCCATTTCTCCTGTGAAGACTCGCCAGTTGACAAGGGGAGACGGCTGGGGCTGACAGGGCCCCGTACGACATCCTTAAAGGTAGGTGGATGGGCCCAGCCGAATTGCACATGACTTGCAGGAGGTTGCGAGGCTGCCATAGATGGCGGCAGTCTTACTACTGGCTGAGGTGGAGGGAGCGACACATGAGGTCTCTGCGCATTGCCCTCATAGGCTGGATGACCTTCCATAGTGGGCGGGGGAGGAGTTGGCGATTTTGAGCGCGATGGCTCGTTCTCGCTGGTCCTGTCATAAGGGTCCCTTGTTGGGAAGAATCGCGAAGAACGGCCTTGAGAAGCCGCTCCTGTGCCAATTGTGCCACCGGCCACTGTAACATTATTAAAGTCCTCTGTTGCTTCATCGCCAGCAGTCCTCCAGGGACCTGCGGGCTGTGCATCTTGAGGGCCGATAGATCGTCGTGTACCATCGCCGGGAGCGTGGACTTGACGCCAGGTGTCTTTAATGACAGGTTGGGCATCCTCGAGGGTTAGACCGCGCTCAGCAAGTTGGCGATCACGCTCAATCTTATCTACTAATCGACTGGCGCTCATCTTCTTGTCGTTTTCACCGACAGCGTTAATCCATTTATTCGCCACATCGGATGTTGGAGCGGGACGAGGACCAGAGGAACCATACCGCGCAGGTCCAGAACCAATAGGAGCCGGGGGCTGTCGAGGTTGTGAAGGCTGTTGGGTAACGTTAGGAGGAGCAATAGGTGACGGACCCTTGCCTCCTTGAGAAGTCGGGCGGCTGTCCAAAGGCAGACGCCCGATATCCGTGCTGAAAGTACCATTACCGAGGCCTCTGTCATTATTAGGGGAGCCCCAGACATTGCGGGCCACTGGCTGTGATCCGGTGCCCCATGTCGAAACGGCTCGGTCCTGTCGTGAGGCCGCAGCTGCTCCCCAAAGCTCGGTGGGCTTGGCTTCTTGACTATGAGATACACGCCTGGCAGCAGCTCCCTGCCTTGGAGATGAATTCGTTATTTGGCTTTCAGAATCTTGTGGCCGCTCATGAGCAGCCGAATGATCACCATCATTTTGCACTGCAGGAGGCTGGCTCGAAGCTCCAGGGCTCTCTCGTTGTTGAATATGTGTAGGATGCGAAACATCATTGGACTTGTCTGCAGACTCCTTCTTTGCTGTCTTTTTCTCTGGCGCAGGTCCCATAGCATCTAACTTCTTTTGGATGCGCTCTCTGCGCTCGGCTTCCTCACGAGCTTCTTCCTCTTGTTTTCGCTTTCTAGCCGACTCCCTACGCTCTCGCATAAGCTTTCTCTGGTATTCGACGTCATCACCAGGGTGAACCGGAGGTGGTGGTCCAGCGACTTGCTCTGGGAGAGGCTCATTATGGTGTGGTTGCGCAACGGCAGGGCTAGGAGATGCGCGGGGAGGCATCCAATTAGATTGATGCTGACCCCTTGGCGGGCCATGCGCTGGGCCTAAGAGGCCGGGTGACACAGGGCTATCAACAGAGCCCACAAAGGACGGCCTACGAACATCATGTTGTTCTGGTGGAGGGAGCGAACCATCGCTCCCCTTGTTCATACGCTGCATAAACGAGCCACTTCCACCACTGACATTAGAAGATCCTCGTCGTCTACCAAAAGGAGGTTCCTGGCTGGCTCTGCTGGTTTGGAACGCACCAGAGGGCTCGGCTGGGTAATCCAGCTGAGGTGGTCGTTGTAACAGGGACGGGTGGTTCCTAGGGTGCTGCTCCATTCGCATCGAACCACGTCGATTATCTTGCACAGGTTCATAACGCCCAGAGTGAGAGTTATACAACTCCCGGTTTCCATGGGATGAGCCGTCTCTCCATGCGTGTCGGTTAAAATCATCGGCTGCGATTTCCTTGGGAGGAGGCGGTGTCATGCCCTTGTTGAATGGTTGTCTAGCAAGAGTGGCAGGTTCCGGAATCGGTGAAGCTTTTTCGACGGGAGGTAGAGTTGCCCATGGAGACTTTACTGGCACCGGAGGTGCCGGGGGTTTGGCGACAAGAGTGGGCTTGTCCTGAGAACCACTCTTCAATACAAGTCCCTTGCCCTGGGCAAGATTGCTCGATTTTGTCAATGGGGAGCTCACAGAAATAGGAGGAGCCGGAGATCGTGGTTTATCGAGGGTCTTTCCTTTTGATGCAACAGAACCACTGTCGGAGGGCGGTGGGGGAGGATTTTCATCTGGGTGAGGCAGGGTCGTCTTTGTGCCATCACCCCAGGTGATAGCTTCAGGAGCCCAATCGTCATCATCATCGTCAATGTCCGCCCATTTGTTTTGTCCTTGCGCATCATCTTCGTTTAATCGACTGGCCATATGAATGCCATACTTCTTCAGCTCCTCATCAGTCAACTTCTTTGGTTCAGGGGGAGGAACAGCTAACATATCAGTTAGTAAATCCAAGGGTAAAGCCAGTTGTCGGGACACATACGTCGGTTCTTGTTCCAAACCGCACTTGCATCCGGCGCACTACCGGGTTTTCCTCCATTAACGCCTCCGGAGAACCGAGGTGATGAGTCGCGCGTGCTGCTGCCCGTCTTGGCTATAAGTCGAGGTCGCGAGGAAGAGAGAGTCGCCGAGCTTGTCGGGGGAGTGCTGGAACCAGTAGGTTGTTTCTCGGCGACCTTGGCTGAAGCGCTATTGGCAGCAGCCTTCGTTGCAAGGAAGGTCTTATTGACAGAGACAGCCTTGAACGTAGCGGGTTTCTTGACTGTTGAGCCTGCGCGACCATGCCCTTTGTCTTCATCCTTGCTCTTTGAACCATCTGCACGCGATGTCTCCGTATCCGACCCTCCGCTAGCACTGGCATCGGCGGAAGTGAGCTGATCTTCGACACTCGTAATATGCTTGTTCTCAATATCATCGTTGCCGGCACTGCCATTCAAATTCGAGCGGACGGGATCGACATTGTGAGCGTCGGGCGCCTAAGTTCATGAGGATGTATGTTAGTAGGGTTCCATAGCTGCTACAGCTCAGCTGTACGCTCAAATGGGCAACAAAGAGCTAAATTTTGGAAAACCGTTCCGAAACCCAACTCAAGGAAGCGCCCGAACAATAAAATAGTAAAGATGAAACATACAGGCTGGGACTGAGAGGCAGTGGCATCGGCAGCTTTGTCAACGGCAGCCTCTGTTGCCATCATACGTCGTGAGATGCGCCGGTCGTGTAGTAAGCGAAAGAAGCCCTCGAAATGAGTTTCTCCGCCTAGTCTCCTTATAATTCGGTCGGACTAGCGTTTAAGGGGTGGACTAAATGTCGTTTCTCGAAGTCAAGATCAGCTGCGACAGGTCACCGCGGGGCGGGGAGGGTGAGAGATGTTTGTCGAGTTGCGGGGGAGACGAGGGGGAATATTGCGTATTAAAGGGCCGATCGTCGTTCGGGCGTCAAGTAGCTAGAATGGTGCTCGATCCGAAACTCGCGGGGAGAGAAGTATGATGAGGGAAGGAATCACTAGACCGCAGGGCGTGTCAGTTACCAGGTGTAAGGTGAGGTTTCAATGTACCCGGAGTAACTGCGGCTGAAGGCGTTGTGATGTGGAAGGTAGAGGGACGGCCAGTTTTCAGCACGAGTTGTGGCTAGATTGCGCTTAGCGCTCAAATGACAGGGGACTGATATTGGCCAGCACGCCCCGTTAATCCGTCAGGTCCCTTAGGTTCCCGGTCCCTGGCAGCCAGCCCATCCATGGCAGGGCTGTCACAGCTGCCAGCTGTAAGGCTCTGGAGCTTAGGGGCCAGGGCTGCCATACCTGAGTTAATGAATAGGCTGTCATCATGGAGCCATATGACTCTACCGGCCACTCAATCTGACTCTTCCTGGTCAGATTAGTTCAATCGTTAATCAGCAAGTTTAATTGTGACTGATAGGCAGAGCCAGAAAGTTTACTTGTTACCATAGCACATTTGTTTGCTTGACCCAATTACACTGTTACATGAGGGTAAGACAAACAAGCTCTAGCTCTAGAATCAACTACAAGTGTCACGCATAAAATTGGTGGTACTCGACTTTATCTGCCCTTCTAACTGACGCACACCTAGTAGGCATATATTAGACGTCATATAGCATGGCTGTAAAGCTCAAAGACGACCTGGCATATGTGCTTCTCAGATTGCTACCAGAGATGACAGAGGCTCGTCATCTAGCCGTTCTCGTTGAATGGTCATGATGAGACGGAGCCCAAACATAAGTGTCAAAACTCGCCTTCATCCCATTCACCTGAAGGCAAGTCTGTGACCAGAGCATTCCCTGTGTCTGTGAAAGAAGCCAAGAGCATAACAAGTAGTGCTAAGACGCTCAGCGACAGCGCTAGCCTATTACACGGCGGAAGCTTTCGCTATACATGAACACAGCTATAAGAATCAAAAGTAGGCCAGCAGATAACCAAAACGTGATAGTAGTGTCACTTCACTTGCTTGTTAGAGATACATAGGGAAGCTAAGGCGCGTATTCGACCGCGAAGTTTCCGGAGTTTATATGTACACGACCCCCGCTCCCTCTCACACAACGACCCGTCTAAGGTATCAAAAAGTCATCGCTTAGTGAGCGTTGTTCTTGTGGTGGCCTAGATAATTCTTGTTAGAAGACGATATCTCCTTTCACAATTTCATCGATATACTTACGGAGATGGAAGTAGTAGTTTTGGGCGTAACCAATACCGACAAGGAAGACAATCAAGTGAATGATGGCTGTATAAGAATAATGTCAGAATCCGTAAATCATGTCCGTCTCGAGATGGGGTATTCGTACGCTTGGCAGTAGGGTTCTTGCCGAAGTGCTTGGCCTGGTATCGGCCGAGGAGACCCTTAGCCTTGACCTCGGGGGCGGCACCACGGGGAAGCTTCTCGTAGAAGCTGACGACACGCTGCATGCGGATAGCATCAGGGGCGGCGCCAATGGCCTGTGGTGGATCGAACTCGGTCAGCCTTCCAAATCTCCATCATGGTGAGTTTTCCCTCGCATCGATCGATCGCCAAACAAAAAAGCCCACATGTCTCATCCATCCAAGAGTCGTCGGGATCGATTTCGAAAATCAATGTAGGGAATAATCATCGTGTTTTGCGTACCTTGGGAGAAGCGACCTGTTTTTTGGAAACCCGGTGTTAGCAACGGAATCAATCGGAGCACCGGGCATTTGCGCCCATAACCGAAGGGGCTCTCTCTCTCACCTTGGGAGGAATGAGCGTCGAGAGCGCTCGGCGGGTGACGAAGCTCATGATGTCGGTATTTCGAAGGGTTCGAGACTCGGTAATTGGTCAATTGCCGCGTTGGTCCGTCGAGAGTCTGAATGACGCTCAATTAAAGGGCTGGAGAATGAGGTTCTGTCGAGATGGATTTGGTCCCGCCCAGATTCAGGTTCTTGCCGAAAAGCACTCGTTCCACGCCTCGGCGAAACTACTGATCCGCTCCACCCAATCAGCAACTCGCTGTTCAAGCTTGCTTCAACCTCAGAATATCGCCGCAGTCCACCATCATTCACTATAGAAACGTCACGCCCACAACGTCAATTGAAAGCCGAAGCCTTGCAATAATGGCCGCCCTCCGATCTCAGAGTGCGGCTCGTATGCTGCGAAGCGCCGCTGTTCCTCGAGTCGCCCTCTCCGCCGCTCCCCGACGATTCCAGAGCAACATCACCTCGGCCACTGGTACCATCACTGGTCCCGTTTCCAACGAGCCCGACTACAACATCCAGGCTGATAAGGCTACCTCGTACGACTCCTCGACTCACGATTGAATATTGACAAGATGGAATTTGAGTGCTGACTGACCGCCAGCACCTATACCCCCGTCCCTCGATCGATCCAAGATGGTAGCGAAGAGATCCTTCCCGCAGCCATTATCTCAGGCGCTCCCATGGAGCTCCAGGCCCGAACAGTTCGGTTCGTCAACACCATATGAAAATCCGATATTGCCCTCAGAGTGCCGGAAACTAATGACAACGACAGCATCTACCAGGAGGCCAAGCCCGCTACGCAGTCCGGTGACTGGCGCGGTCGACGCTGGCGAATGGACTGGGATATTCTCCCCAAGGGACACCGATGGGAGAACCCTCTGATGGGCTGGCAATCTTCAGGTGATTTCATGCAGGGAAGTCACATCAACTTCGAGAGCAAGGAGGACGCCATTCACTTTGCTGAGAAGCAGGGTTATGAATACTTCGTTCAGGAGCCCAACTCTCGCAAGTTTGCTCCCAAGGCCTACGCCAACAACTTCCTGTACTCGGCCAGAAAGCTCAAGCATATCAGGACGAAATAGACGGCTTAGACAGTCCGCTCCTGTGTAAATATGTTTATTTGAAAGACTCATTTTGGTTGTGTTTCAGCATTAAACTTTGATATATGCTGCAATTGGAAGTCACATTTATGAAGAACCTGATGAATTGATGATTCATTGTCATTTCATTCTGAACTATGGGTTCGCGATGCGTTAGAATACGACTACAAAGTCGCTTCAAAACGCCCGGCCTGGTTCTGTTTCTCATTCTTATCCTTACCACAATGTTGATGATTACCCCTAACGCCAAGCTAGGAACTGTTACGATAACGCCGGCATTCTCTACCGCTTAACCAAAGACAAGTCCGACCATATTTCCAGGTCTAATATCAAAGTCACGTTGTAATCATGGGGTCATGGCCGTTTCGTGCCTGGGGAGGCAGTCTACTGAGGCCAGGCACGTTTAAGCCAAGTTCCAGGCCCTCAAGCTCCAGGCACTCGGGCAGACTTTTGCCTTTGTCGCGAGCAGTATTCTCTGCCCAAACGCGCATCCTCACAAGCTGACGGATGGCCGACTCGCGTCTTTGAGATTGCCGTTCCAGAATGGCACGGTTAACGTTATCAGCTACTTCTAGGCGCAGCTCTGGCTTCAGCAAAGCTGCGAGTTCTGGCTCAAGAGAGTCCGATGGGAACATGAGCAGTGCCATCGTCTTTTCCAGATCTCCAAGGAACTTTCTGTTCGTAGGTGCTCTGGGGCCTAGTTGTTCTGTGGCAAACTTGAGCGCGGGCCTAATATCGCCTCCAGGTGTGTTACAGGTACGAATGAGTTCGACAAGTTGAAGTCGTAGCAGAGAAAAATGCAGTGCCTTGTCTTCATCTAAAATCTTTTCGTCGAGTCAGTGACAGTTCATTCAAGGGTCTGTAACATGAAGAGCGGAGAAAAAGAGTGGTCATAAAAAAGTGGTTGTTTCTCATCAAAGGCCCGAAGGCTCTATGAGTGGTGCATGTAAAACTCGAGTTCTAATCATCCCAAGTATGGTGGTTCTGGCTGGGGGGGTTCTTACCTCTGGATCGAAATCATTTAATGTTTCAATAGCTGTTTGAATGTTGCCGCTATGGATACAATTTTGTATTTCCTGCCTGGCAATGATGGAGGGAGTCTCCTGGTGAGGGATCAGATTGGCCTCTTTGGAAAAATTGGCTGCGGCGTTTGGATATCCCTCCATGGTGAGATAGTCCAGAATCAATGCATTGATATCACTATTGAAAACCGTTAGCAACTGTGGTTAAACATAACTGCAAGAACGAGATGTGAGATATGGTGGGTTCAGAAATTGAAGATTGATATCGTATTTCCGCATTATATGCTAGGAGAGATTCCCATTGATAGTGCGTTCATCATTTTACCGATGGAAGTGCTGGGGTAATGAAGGGATATTATCTTACCTTTTGGGGGCCTTGACCTCTTCAACACGAAGTTCAAAGTCGTGTTGAGGTCTGAGAGGAGTAGCTGTAGAAGCAGATGACGTCTGATTCTCGAGTCAGCGCCCAGCTTTACACAAAGCTTGGGCTGAAGCTCGGCTTGCCGACAATAAAGCTCACCATTTTGAACAAATAGCCCGACCACGTCTCGCTACAACTCGTTTCGATTCGAAGCTTGAACAGGAACTGTTAATCGACGGTACGATAGAGAAGCAATAGCCGAATAGAGGCTGCAGGCGATTCAGCGCATGAAGAATCGAGCCCGACGATCTTGTGTCAAGATCAGAACAATGCTTGCAGAAATTGTTCTGAGCGATGTTTGTAAAGAAAAGAAAAAAGAAGAAAGTTTGATGAAGATGGGAAGAGAAGAAAAGGTGATTGGGGGCTGGAGGAAAAGAAGCCCCGAGTCGTGGGTCAAAAACCTGGAGCCTCATAATAGGGTTTGAGAGCCAATCACGAACGCGTAAAGTTCCGCTAAGCTCATGCCCTGTGTGCCTCAGGTCTCCATTCATGACAGCCCCGCTAGAGACGCGACTGAACACAGTTGGTGGGGGAGGCTTGATCCCTAGAGATGGAGCTACGTTACAACTTACAGGGCAGAGCAATTTGTTGGCGGTTGATACCGCGGTTTAGCATCCATCCATTTCAGTGCATCGTCGATATCAATCTCGGGTTACCTATACAAATGCTGCATCTCATGATGTGATACCCATGACAGCCATATGTGACATCCCTCTGACTACCTCGGTATAGTCAAAGAAAAGCAGCAATAGAATAATCAGGTTCCAACCAGCACACACTCATCATGGTCATGGTACCTACCCTAACCCAGGGCCAATGTCTGGAGCCAAGCCACATTACCTTCAACAGAGGTCACCATGGCATCGAGCTAAAGGACTAGACCTAGCTTATCTCTTGCACGGTAGCAGTTTGGATCGTGCGGAGAAGGTAATGCGCCTTCGGCCATCGCCGTCTTTCGATAGATACCAGATATGAGGAGAACCCTGAAGAGGTCAGGTCGATCGTCAAAACGAGAGCAAGGCCTAGGCTTAGCTCATTGTTCCTCTTACACTCTCGCTTCGCAAGTTTAACCGCCAGCTTTACTTGCATATATGTGTATATATATACAGCTGCCTACCTGCTATACACCGAGTTTTCTCTCTTGCCAACAACTCCTAATAGCTTCCCTTGGAGCTTTTCACTGAAGCTCTCTCTGTTCCCGCTTCTTCTTGGCCCTTTGTGGATCACACACGCGACAGGGCCGTGCTTAGCTGCTCCACCAAAGAACGGGCGAGCCAAACCCTCACTCAAATCGAAGTTTGAAGGCACCGACTGTTCGTACAGCTCGTGGATATTGCAGGGCTAGTTTTCGGAAAGAGGAGAGTTTTTTGTATTCTTCTCGGCCGAACCGCCCTCAGTCCTTTGCCTGTCCAATCCTCTTGTCCTTTTTACTTTACATCCAAATTCAAGGTTGACGGTGACCTCATCGAGAACTAGCCCACCGCAATGTCCGCCTCTGCGATCCCTGAAATCAATGGCGGGCTCGAGAGCCATGTCACGGTTCAGAAGCGAGCTTACTACTCACCTCCCTGGGCAGATGTCAGTATCATCGGTGTCGCGGGCAGCTCTGGCTCGGGCAAGTCGACTCTGTCCCAAGCCATCGTCAAGAAGCTGAACCTACCCTGGGTCGTTATTTTATCCATGGCACGAAACCCTTAAAAATCTTATATGTTAAAACATTATGCTTATTATATGTCTAGGACTCTTTCTATAAGACCTTGACTCCCGAGCAGTCCAAAATGGCTTTTGCCAATGAACATGACTTTGACTCTCCCGATGTATGCTTTCTGTTCTGCATGTGAAGACATGAGCTCTCGAAACAGTAACTGATGAACAACTTACACAGGCCATTGACTTTGATGTTCTGGTTGAGAAATTAAGGGATCTGAAAGCTGGGTATGTTTGGTTGCCGACAGTTTTATTGTTGGCGTCACAGAACTCGACTGACGTCTCATTATACTTGCAGAAAGCGTGCTGAGATCCCTGTCTATTCATTTGCGAAGCACGCGCGATTGGATCACACGACGTCTATCTACTCGCCTCATGTGCTCGTCCTAGAGGGAATCTTTGCTCTATATGACCCCCGAGTTATTGAGCTACTTGATATGGGTGTAAGTTCAAGCTACTGCGACTCGTAGAATGGTCGGGTTCTGACCATCGATTAGATCTATTGTGAAGCAGATGCAGACACATGCCTATCACGAAGACGTAAGTTCTGGCAACATTGTAGCTCATATTAAATAATCGCTGAACAAACATGAATAGTTGTGCGCGATGTACGAGAACGTGGCCGAGATATCGAGGGTATCATCAAGCAGTGGTTTGGATTTGTCAAGCCCAACTTTGAAAAGGTATATTCGCCGTCTTGAAATGGTTAGTATCACTTCGAGTTCACTAACAGCTCCATAGTTCGTGGAGCCGCAGCGCAAGGTGGCTGATTTGATCGTGCCGAGAGGTATCGAGAACAGAGTAGCACTTGGTAAGCATTGTTCTTAACGTTGAGATGGTTTGCAGCTTACATCCGTAGATATGATGGTCCAGTTCGTTGAGAAAAAGCTATTTGAAAAGTCAAGACATCATCGAGAGGCCCTGTCTCGACTCGAGGCGGCGAGTAAGGATTCTGCTCTGTCTGATCGCGTTGTGGTTTTGAACGACACCCGACAACTCAAATTTATGAACACCATCCTTCAAGATATCGATACGGATCCCGAGGACTTCATCTTTTACTTTGACAGACTTGCTAGCTTGATCATCGAACAGTAAGATATCGGTGGGAAGTGAAATTGAAGGACTTGCTAACATAGTCAAGGGCCCTTAACAATGCCCACTTCGAGGCCAAGAAGATCATCACACCCCAAGGATACGAATACAAGGGCCTTGTGCCAACAGGTGAGGTCTGCGCCGTTATTGTACTCCGAGGAGGATCAGCGTTTGAGCCGGCGCTGCGAAAGACTATTCCGGACTGCCGAACAGGTCGACTTCTCATCCAGTCCGACTACTCAACAGGAGAGCCGGAACTTCACTACTTGCGACTGCCCGACGATATTGCAAGCCAGCAGAGTGTCTTGCTACTTGATACCCAAATGGCCACTGGTGGTGCTGCCCTGATGGCGGTGCAGGTCTTGGTCGACCATGGCGTACAGCAGGACCGTATCGTTCTGGCTACATACTCGGCAGGCAAGGTTGGACTTCACAGATTGACATCTGTGTTCCCAGAAATCACTGTGGTGGTTTGCAATATGCTCGACTACCAACAGGAACGATGGGTAGAGAAGAGGTATTTCCGCTGTTAGTCTAGTGCTGTCAAACACGCTGTTGCATGCATGCATACATAGTATAGTGTATATCTTTCCGCAAAGAATGGCCCCAATGTATACTGCGACAATGGTTACTAGATTGGATCAATCTAGTGTTTGCAGTCAAGATTGGTGGCAAAGTCGGCATTGAAATAACTGACTGAACCGATGATTGAAATGCCAAAATATCCGTAAAGCACAAAAACAAACGAATAAAATGTTGCTACGTTAGCATCCACCATGTGACATATCATCTGTAATGGATTGATAATAAGAATCCGTGAAAAGAAACGGTACTCCCGCAGCTAACAGCATATCTTGGAAATGAGGAGCCACTCGGTGATACTATTTATTGCTTGACACGATGTCGGCCGAAGCGTCATGACATAGTAGCCGACATATCCGGTCCATGATTGAGCAGGTACCTATGGGTTGGAGTTCACTCATTGCATTGTATTTTGTGTCTGCAATGTCAAATGACGAAAAAAACAAAGGATATTGATGATATTCTTTGCTTTGCTTCTAGAATTGTGGTGGAGTAACCTCTCATCGATTTTCCATGGATCGCCAAGAAATTAAATGGCCATAATTGACAGGCCTAACCATGACGTAGCTGAACCATCATGGAGGTACCTTTCAGCTGCTACATGCCTCCCTCCCGTTCCTGGTTGTACAGCTCCGTAAACGGGAAGCTCCATTGAATGCATTACACAATAATTAACTTAGTAGTGGCATCGAAACCAGAAGATAGCAATTTCTCTTCTTTCTCTCTGTTTCGTCCTTCTTTACCAACTTGCACACTCCATTGAGTGCTCCTTCTCTTAACATTTCGACTATTTCGTCCCTGAGCGCCCTGTATCTTTATTTCTCGTTGCAACAGCGAATAATTACATCTCTAGTACTGCCATGCCCGTGCCTACTATGATGGCCGCGCGACTGGCTCGCGCTGGCCAAACCAGAGCCATCAACAGCTCTCGTTGCATAAAGCCATCTCTCACTCCTCGCCCGCTTTACTCGTCGCAATCACGAAGCTTCGTCAAGCTCACAGGCGCCTCGCCTTCCGTTGCCAAAGGTTCCTCAGTAACCAGCCAAGCAACACGTCAATTGCCCTCTCAGTTCTTTGTGCGCAATCTCTCCGGAAAGCCACTGCCTCAAGGAAAGTCATGGCTCCTCAACTTCTGCTATCGTGCAGCAGCTTGGGTCGGAATCTCCATATCTGTTATTGGCGTTGGCGTCGTGGGCTTTTTTATTTATGATGCGTCTACATACTTCGAACATCCTAACCACAGTGATATCGACGTTTCAAAGATTGCCCTCCAACCTCGCAGTGGGGGTGAAAAGAACCTACCAATTGCCGAAGTATACATCGACGACGATGATACAGAAGAGCACCGTCGTCTAAAGGACAAGCCTCGGCTGGTTATACTCGGTGGTGGATGGGGTGGTGTTGCACTCCTCAAAGAGTTGAACCCAGAGGACTATCATGTTACAGTCATCTCGCCAACCAACTACTTCCTCTTCACCCCCATGCTTCCCTCTGCAACAGTTGGCACTCTCGAGTTGCGATCACTTGTTGAGCCTATCCGAAGAATTCTAAGCCGCGTCAACGGTCACTTCATTCGTGCCAAAGCCGAAGATGTAGACTTTTCCCACAAGATGGTTGAGGTCTCGCAAGTCGACGCAAGCGGAAAAGACATTAGATTCTACGTTCCCTACGATAAGCTTGTCATTGCAGTTGGTTCAACAACCAACCCTCACGGCGTCAAGGGTCTAGAAAATGCTTTCTTCCTTAAGGATATCAACGATGCACGCAAGATCCGAAACCAGGTCATTCAGAACTTTGAGTTAGCTAACCTACCTACATGTCCCGATGAGGAACGCAAGCGTCTGCTCTCTTTCTGTGTCAGTGGTGGTGGTCCTACAGGTGTTGAGTTTGCTGCAGAGCTTTTCGATCTTCTCAACGAGGATCTAACACGACATTTCCCTCGCCTTTTAAGAAACGAGATCTCTGTTCATCTTATTCAGAGCCGCAGCCATATTCTCAACACTTACGACGAAACTGTGTCCCGATATGCTGAGGATCGATTTGCCCGTGATCAGGTCGATGTCCAGACAAACTCTCGCGTCAAGGAGGTCCTCCCCGACAAGATCATCTTCACACAAAAGCAAGAGGGTGGTGAAACAATCACCAAGGAACTTCCTATTGGCTTCTGTCTTTGGTCCACGGGTGTATCGCAGACTCAATTCTGCCAAACCATGGCTGCTAAGTTGCGCAAGAGTCAATCAAACCGACACGCTCTGGAGACTGATACTCACCTCCGTCTCAACGGCTCACCCATGGGTGATGTGTACGCCATCGGTGATTGTTCCACTGTTCAGAACAACGTCGCCGACCACATCGTCACTTTCCTTCGTTCCTTAGCCTGGAAGCGAGGCAAAGATCCTGAGACTTTACAGCTCAGCTTCGCTGATTGGCGCGGTGTCGCTGATGATGTCAAGAAGCGATTCCCTCAGGCCGTCGGCCACCTTAAGCGTGTGGACAAGCTGTTCAAGGAGTTCGACAAGGACAAGTCCGGCACCCTTGACTTTGACGAGTTGACCCAACTTCTTCGCAACGTCGACAACAAGCTCACATCCTTGCCCGCGACCGCTCAACGTGCTCACCAGCAGGGACAGTACCTAGCTCGAAAGTTCAACCGCATGTCGCGCCTGCACGAGGGTCTAGATGCCAACGACATCCGCGATGGCGATGTTGACGCAGCTGTTTACAAGGCGTTTGAGTACAAGCACCTTGGCAGTCTTGCTTATGTTGGCAACTCTGCTATTTTCGACTTGGGCGAAGGTCGAAGCATAGCCGGTGGTCTTTGGGCCGTCTATGCTTGGCGTTCTGTCTACTTTGCGCAGAGCGTGAGTCTGCGAACACGACTCTTGATGGCTATGGATTGGACCAAGCGAGGTCTCTTCGGACGAGGTTCGTATCTCTTTGTTAATCTTTGCGAATGGTCACTAACATGGGATAGATCTTATGAGTTTCTAAACAATTCCTTGATGACATAATGTTCTTTTCTTTTAGATTTCGTGGCGTTGAAGCTTAGTATGGAGGCATTTGGAGACTTGCAAAAAATATGTTGCTAGACGTGGACTTGCGATGTATGGAGAACAGTATCCGTACATCTGCATTTAATCCGTAGTTTTGCACGTGTTTCATAATAGTTCAAGTTCAAGATTTGTAGCAAAAGTCGCAATATTATTTTCTCGCTAGATCCTCTGGACGCCGGTCTATCGTCTATTATATCTTGAAGTCCTTGTATGTCCACTTCTCCGTGTACTTGCCCTTTGCCTGCTTGTGGAACGGAATATGTCTCCTGCTCTCAACCTTTCCGCGCACCAGCATGCTTCGGTACCTGTCCCGGAGCATGTTGCCTTCGGGCTTCAATCGTCGCAGCGAGTCTTGCAGCTCATCCGGAAGAACCAGCTCAAGATCTCGCTCAGGAAGCTTGTACTTGCCGAGCTGCTTGCGCCGCAACTTCTCTTGGCGAAGCTCGTCGATGGGGTCGGCTGGATCTTCATTCAGTGCGGCGAGGGCCTTGTTTCGATCCTTTTCTTCAATCTCCTCGGCAATCTCCCTGATGCGCTGCTCTTGGCGTCGCTGAGCCTTGATAGCAGCCTTTTCCTTTGCCAGGCGCTCTTCCTCCTTGCGACGCGCAATGCGATTGCGCTGAGTCTGTGTCTTTCTCTGCGGGCGCTTGACGGATGGCTTGCTGTCTTCGGCACCGCTCTGGAAACCTTCCCACTCGGAATCCTCCTCCCATTCTGAAAGGTTGGCACGAGCCTCGGCAGCCTCTGCCTCAGCTGCTGATCGGGCGGCAGCCTCCTGCTTCTCTCTCTCCAGTTCCTCTTGCGCCAGGCGCTGACGCTCAGCCTCAAGAGCCTTTTCGCTCTCTTCTGCTAAGCGCTCCTCGTAGTCGGTGAACATAGGGTTGTAACTGTATCCTCCAGTGGGCTTGAGAACGGCAGGTATCTGCTTTCCGCTCTCGAGTAGGGATAGGGGCTCTTTCTTCATTGACTTGGGTACCTTGGGCTTAACCTGCTCTTCCACAAAGTTGTCGACATTCTTCTCCTTAGGCGCCGCAGGCATATCCCAGATATCGTAGGTAGCATCCTGTACTTGAACAGTGTTCTCGTGTTGGCCGTCGGCAACTCGCTTCAGTCGAGAGAGCTCCTTGTGGGACACCCAATCAGTTCGCTGGCGCTTCGTAGGGAGAATTCCGTTGGTGGTCTTGTCACCTGATCGCTTGCGCATAGAGACAGCGGGAACTGGCGACCGGGCATTGATGATATCGTCGGCCTTGAGACCCTTCTTGATGTGCTTGTTGAACTTCTTCTCAAGAGCAGCATCGCCCTTTATGTCGAGGGCGAAGAGTTGTTCCGATGGTCGCTCCTTGATGACACCACTGTTTACTTGTTAGCTAGGGGTTAAATGCGCGACAAGACAATATCTTACCCTTGAATGATCTCCTTGTTCAGCTCTGCGAGACCCTCCTGCACGTCGGTAACATCGACATTCTTCCTCCACGCTTTTTTGCCTTTTCTTGACTTTTGGCTGTGCTGCTGGGGAGCAGCTCCGTTGCCGGCGTTCTTTGATTCCAATACAGGCATTTTTGCGATTCCTTTCCTAGAAAGGATATTTTGTACTGTCGATAATGAAGAACGAAAAGGCTGCTTGTCGATAGAAGTGGTGGGGGACCGATTTCTTAATTTTTTAGTGGAGCCGAAAGTCTCGACTCGCCATATCCATAGAAAATACGGAGACGGTATAGTTACGCTTGACTTGTTGGGGACACCGTCTAGTAAACGGAGACATATTCTTATCGGCACGTGCACCTTCCTTGAACTTGTTCAGGGTGGCCTCCATCTCATACGCTCCTGCCGAATCTAGGATCAAGACGCTCCTTTCTCCAGATTCCAACTTGTAATTAGCCTTTATCCCTATACAATCAAGTTGCCACTCTCGAGGTTGCACCATTCTTTGATCATTCTTTGCGTCGCCAAGGCCAGGATCGTCTCCTCAACGTAACAACAGCATCGTATTCTCCGACGACCTATATCTCTTAGCTTTGACAGCTGTCACATACACCGTCCCTGCAAGAGACACCGAAAAAGACCACACAACCGCAAACATGGCGCAGGCTGGTGGCTCATACAACAACCCCTTGAAGAAGTTCAAGTGTGCATACCAAGAATCATAGTCGTATACAATTGCTAATGGCTTATACAGGCTGGTGTTTCTAGGAGAGCAGAGTGGTACGTCCATGACCGATGACGGACCTTCCCGTTCCAACGTCACTAACAACAATCCCAACAGTTGGCAAGACCTCTTTGATCACACGATTCATGTACGACTCTTTCGACAACATGTACCAAGCGACGATTGGCATTGATTTCCTCTCCAAGGTCAGCACCGTCACAGCCGAGCCTAGGCGCAAGACTAACATGCGGTGCACTTAGACCATGTATCTCGAGGACCGAACAGTGCGATTGCAGCTATGGGATACCGCTGGACAAGAACGATTCCGAAGTCTGATTCCATCCTATATCCGTGATTCAAGCGTGGCCGTTGTTGTCTATGATATCTCTAGTATGTCCCCAAGCTGACCCCACCACCTATTAACCCCCTCGCCTCCAATCGTGGCTATGCATGAGTCGTGCTAACTATTGGTCTCCTCCACAGACGCCAAGTCGTTCCAAAACACCAAGAAGTGGATTGATGATGTACGAGCCGAACGAGGTAACGATGTTATTATTGTGTTGGTTGGCAACAAGACGGATTTGAACGACAAGCGAGAAGTCACTACACAGCAGGGCGAGGAAGAGGCCAAGAAGAACAACCTGATGTTTGTCGAGACAAGCGCAAAGCTGGGTCACAACGTGAAGAACCTATTCAAGAGAATAGCTCAAGCCCTGCCTGGTATGGAGGGAAGCGACGCTGCTGCGCAAGCTTCAAACCAGAGTAAGTGCGCCACCTGCGACTTTTAGATGCAACTAACACATTGTCTTAGTGATCGACGTCAAGACGAACAACACGCAGCAATCACAAGAGGGATGCGCGTGCTAAATAGCACTGCGCCGAACAGAACTGGAGTACAGGAGTATCTGGGAAAACGCAAGCCGTGCTCGAATCGCGAAAGAACCCTTGTTGTCGCGCATAAGACAGGATATCAAGCATAGCGTGCAGATTTTAGTGCGGGAGCTTGTATAGTACAACCAGGACTACGAGCCTACGATCGTTATATAAGACACTTTAATGCCTTGGTTCGACTGGCTTTGAGGCTGGTCAATCATTTCGCTTCTAATACTATTGCTCGATATAAATCAGGGGTGACATTCCAAGATACTCAAACATGTGGCGATTCAAACGCCTTGGTGACAATGTATTTTTCTTTGGTTGGCCAAACACGGTACGTTTCTCAGAAAATGCTGTTTTATGTAAGGCAAACATTCTCCCGTTTCCTTTTAAGCGGCATTTTGTACCTGTACCTCGCCATTGGCGAGACCGAAATAAGCCGCAATGGGCTTCTGCGCTTGCGACTCCTTGCCCAGCTTAACAGCCTCGCTGCCATTGAAGCCATGGAACAAACCAATCTCAACGATACCAGGTGTTCGGACCAATTCCTCGGCAAGAGCGTTAACCTCCCAGGCACCATTCTTCCCGCGACCCTCGTTCTCGGAGTTGATATCCTTGGGAAGAAGCAAGGGAGAGAATGGGGCGTCAATAAGCCACATGCCGTTGTCTGTTACACATTCGCCAGCTTTGGCAGGGAGACCTGAACGGATGACAGGTTTGGGTGAACCCATGGCTCGAAGGCGGACCAGAACATCAGGTGCGGACATAGGAAGAACCTCGATAGGAATGGTCTTCCAGGTGGTACACAGTCTGGGAGATTGCTTTCGGTAATCTGCTGTGCGTCAGTGACTTGTTCTAAATTTATCATAAACAATAATAATTGGTGCATACCAGCTACAGCGATAAACTTTTTGGCAGCAATTGCAACCAATTTCTCCTGGAACAAACAAGCACCACCGCCCTTGATAAGATTGAGGTCCTCATCAACCTCGTCGGCGCCGTCAAATGCAACATCAAGAGGAACAGGAAGCCCATCCACCATGGGCCTCTCGTCCAAGTTTACAAGATCCAAACCAGCAGCACGGATAAGACCCTTTGACTGACTTCCAGTAGGAACAAAAGTCATTCCCTTATAGAATTCGGGTCCCTTGCTGACAATAGCATCCACAACGTAGACGACGGTGCTACCAGAGCCAATTCCGACAAACTTGTAAGAGGCATCGAGGTGATCATCGACTGCCTGGTAGGCGGCCAACTTCTTGGCCGACTCAACTAGATTTGCTGATGAAGACATTGCTCTTGAACTGCACCCTATGCAGAGGCTGAGACCTTGGCTTTGCTTATAGCTGTGTATGCGGGTTGGCGGGATGTGCAGGACCCCGCGATGCAAATGACGAGGTGTGGTGGGGAGAATTTGAGATACAGTATAGGGTAGTTTGGTTGAGATGTTTCTAACACCAAAGAGAGACTGGGAAGAAGAGAAGCACGACGATGTATTGACCGGGGATACTCGTCTTATAGTGCTGTAGTTTCTGAGAGAAGATGTAGGGAGAAAGGAAGCGATCTCAACCAGAACCGTCGACTTTCTGGTGGAGAGATGTGTAAGCCACTTCATGGGAAAAGCGAATGGACCCTTGCGCCAAGGGCAGGCCATAAATAAAGTTGGAAGAAAGCGCGGCAAAATAGAAAGTCAGGGTATCTGTTAAAACACGAATGGGCAGACCTAAAAGAATCACATGTGAGTTAAGTGACTGCTTTCAGCCAATTCAACTCAAGTCAGATCAGAAAGAGAATCAAGTGCGACAATTTATTACTATTAGCGGGCCAACGAAACGGGTTTCGGGAGCGTCGACACACCCTGCAGGTTTTCTTTGCATACAGAAGCATATGTCACTAAAAACAAGCAAAACCAGAACCAGCATTGATTCGGTGCAGACTCGGGGGCGCATTTTGGGGTTGCATTAAGTGACGTGATGGCTGCTGTCAACGCCCAGAGCTCCAAGATGAAGCAAGCATGAATAAGCATCATGATTGGCTGACAAGCTCTAACATCAGCATGACTTTTCTCGACTGAACCACGTGATTTAAGATTACACCGGCAGTCTCGGGCGCAAAGTCTTGGATACAGACCCCTGGTTGCATCATATTCGTGCCTGTACACTCGTCCTTCTCCTGCGCGTTTCTTTTTGAGCCTCATTATCGATCGATAAAGGGCAACGACATACCGAATCTCAAGGCTCAGGAACGAAATATATTCTTTATCAACAGAACACCGCCATGTCTCGGCTTACTCGATCCCTCCGGCTACCCCGGCCCAAGGTAAGGAGCACGCGACTCGGTCTCGATGTCGTATTACGCGGATGAGAAGATGGCCATGAAATGCTGACAGAAACCGTTTGTAGAGCCTCTTTGGTATCACCAGTCTCCAGACCGGCACAGAGCTTATTTCACTGGCTCTCGTTTTCAACAAGATTACCGGTGTTTACGGACTCCTCGCCATCCTTACTGGATATCAGCTATCTCTCCTCCAACTCTCGACATACGTTTACTCCATCGCGGTCCTGGTAGGACTTGCCATCCTTACTCCTCATGTTCGACGACAAAGCCCCTTTGAATGCCTGGCCCTCGCATGGCTTTACATCATCGATACCGTTATCAATGCAGCATACACCGCAGCTTTCGGCCTAGACTGGTACTTCTCTACTCAGCTTAACGAGACAATCGAGTCCAAGAAGACGGATCTGCCAAATTTTGTGGCTGAGGGTATGCAAGGCCTGCGAAAGGAGGCTGCCATGCATGGAAAGGTCGTTCCGCAGGAAACGGCTGCGAGCATGTTGCTGATTGTTGGCGCAACGTTGATCCGTGTGTACTTCAGCTTCGTCGTCATGGCGTATGCGAAGCAGGTGCTGCAGAAGTACATGCAACTGATGATCCTTGAGGGCCCCGGCGTTGATGACCAGGAGGGTCCCTTCGCTGAGGATCTCCCTGACGGTGAGGGCCGCCGGGGACGCCTTGGCCGTTTGATGGTTTCTTGTGGTCGGGCTTACTGGCTGGACAGCCGAGAATCTGACGAATGGGCCCCCAGCCTGGGAGGATCCAACAAACCAGCCGGCGCGGGTACGCTCTCGGGCGAGGTCTAGAAAGTCGTTTGACACGTGGGATCTGCCGCAGACTGTTGAACGAACTCAAAAGATATACACGGATACTTGGAACATGGACACTGGCGGCCAGGCCGGTTGCTGCCTCTTTACATTTTTGTGATGCAAGTCACCACCAGTGGCTGATGCTCTGCGATTCATTTTCATGATAAAGGGACCAACATACGATAGACGGAGTTTTGATAGGGGGAAAGTTCATATACGGAAATCATCATGGAAACTTGTACAAAGTCCATGTCGGACACAAAACCGACGACTCGGCCGACGCGGAGGAAATGCGGCATTTGCGGCGAAAACGCGGCATGTTGTGGATCTTCTGAACGGCGGCTGCGGATGGTGTGAGCGGATGAGCCGACAACAAGTTGAAAAGCGAAATT